CAAATGTGGTTTGGGTTCTTCGCAATCTGGTAAACTATTAGGTGATCCCCCTGCAAAAGCTGATATTGACTGCTGCACATTCTTAGAGATTTCGGTCTAAGCTGATAGGGCAGATGAGAGAGGCCTCTGACGTTTTTGATTGCACTTCGTTGAGGAGTCTCGAGAGCAACGAGATCCTGTTTCGGCCACGGCTGCCACGCCTGAATAGCATATTCCACGTGCGGTCGCACGTAGGCGTTAAGCAGTTGCAGAAAAATTGAGGGTTCAAACCGACCGAAGGCTCTGCGAAGAAAGCCGAAGTGTTGATTGCCGGTTAGTGTCGCCTTCTCTGCTTGTTTTGAACACCCAAGATCTTCCTGTACCAATACACCCAGACCACGCTCCTGAGAGGCCTTCTCCAAGGTGTGGTCTCCGAGCTTGTAAGCGCTCACAGGCTGGTGACGCAGATGGATCACCTTGCACTTAGCTAAGTTCAACTGAAGCAGGTTCCTCGTTGACCATTCATAAATGCAATCTACCTTATGCTGGAGTAGATCGGGATCTTCATTGTTACTAATCGCTCGTCATATCTTGACATCATCGGTAAAAAGCTGGAAAATTGAGGAGATAACTCTTGCCAGGTCATTGATAAACACCAGGAATAAGCACGGGCCTAGCACTGAGCATTGTGAAACATCACATTCTACTTCAAGCGGGAGTGAGAGTGATCCCCTAACGCGTACTTAAAGCTTCCGTTGGTGAAGAAAGTTGTCAATCCAACCAAGTACATGATCTCCGATTTTGTAGCTCTGTAGCCGGTGAAGTAGGATGCGGTGATCCAGGCCGTCGAAACCTTTGGAGAAGTCCAGATAGATGACGTCTACCCCGACCCTAACATCAGCCACTTGCCTCTAACTACCTCGTGCAATTAGTAGGTTGGTGGTACATGACCGGCATTGACGGAAGCCCTACTGCTCCGGTGCCAAGATGTCGCATTTTTCCAGGTAGTCCGTTAGAGCCTCAGCGATGACCGCTTCCATCACCTTCGCGAGCACAGGGAGGAGAGTCACTTCACGATAGTTTGCAGGATCTGAACAGCCACTGCCTTTAAAAATTAGGGTGATAATGCCACGCTTCCATATAGTAGGAGCTTGTTGTGCATCAAAGCACCTTCGGAAGAACTGTGACAGTAGTTCAGCTAGCTTGTTGGCCGCAGCCTTCAGTTAATTCGGGCGGATGTTGTCTGCCCCCGGGAGAGCTATGATCGCGCAGTGAGAGTAACTTCCTTAGCGCAAATGATAGGTTGAGAATTATATGTGTAAACAATGGAGTCGGTAATGTGCATGACATTATGGAACAGGTAGGAGATGAGAGTTCGAAAATTGTGGTGTATTGTAGCTGCAGAGCATTAGCTGCTTCTTCGGCGCCTTGTAGTTTATCGCTTGTAGTGAAAATTGGAGGAATGCCATGCTTCACTTTACGAAGAATGTTGACATGCCTATACAGCAGTTTGTTGTTTGCCAGAAAATTTATGGCTAGGCACTGTTGATAAGTTAATTTGTCCTCACGGACAAGTGCAGTGCAACGGTTGCGATGCGTCAGGAAATTGCCCCAAGGCTGTGAGTCGGGGTAAATCTTGAAGGCACGCCATGCTGCATCCCTTATCGTCAAACATTTTCGAGTCCCGCTCCTTAGAATGGAAGGCAATTTTGAGGAACGAAGGGGTTTGGTCTATGATGCACTACAGAGGATGTAGCTGAGTCTAACGCAAAACTCTGTCCAAACATTATCAAGAGGACCAGAGAATTCCCAAGCATCTGCGCCGAAGAGCACTTTCATTACGTGGCAGCAAGTATGAATGTGTTCTGAGTGTTCAGACAAATACTCTGCATAACACACATCATCATCAGCATAATAAACAGCGGGACATCCGCCATTTGAACTGATGCTTCGCTGCCATGCAACCATGCTGACCTACGGAATAAAGAATAATAAGAGGATGAGAAGGGGGACTTACCGGAAAACCTCAATGCCCTAAGCAAACATTCAGGTTCAAGGCGCCTACTCCTTGTGTAGACAACATACCGTCACAAACAGCTGGCTATCGTGCAATGATAAGGCGACATCAGCGAGAGCTTCCTTGCGGCTTTCACTGCCCCGGGTCATAATCATCCAATACCCCGCAGATAACCCAGCATCAAACACACTTTAAACAGGCACTCCGACTAGCAGACAGCAGCAGACGCGTCACTGGTGTTGAGTGCGAGCCATGTCCTGTAAAGTCTTGAGCCAAGTACAAGGCGAGTCACGTAAACTCCAGCCGGGAAAGCGAGACGGACCAAAGGCACTCAGTTTGGTCGTCAGTGACAACATTTCCCACTGCCAAGTCAACTTCTGTCCACCTCGAGCTTTGCGCCACCCTGCATCTAGTAGACTGGACAAGACCCACCTAGGTAAGTGGTGACTAGGCATAGGTAGTATGTGTCCAAGCCAAGGCAACTTTTTCAGTGCTATCTGTTGTTCTAGGTAGCTAACATGCTTATCACTACCTAGTACTCGTCTACGCACATCATCATTGCGGACACGCTGGTGTCATCCGACACCAGCAATGCTTCGTAGACTACGATGATCAAGGACTTGAAGGCGTCTCAGATCTTCAGACAGAAGGGGCCAAGTCTCAGTCCCAGAACGGCCCTCACTGTGGCCTCGTATACACGGCATTTCAGACGGAGGGAAACTCACTTCCGTTGCCAAAGATGCCGCAGATTCAAGAAGACAGCTCTGGTCTTCGCAATGCGTGAAATGACTTCAGTTTCTATGCGCCCATCATTGCTGATGCGGCTGCCAAGATAAGTGAATTGAGCAACCACCTCGAGTTCCTCGTCGGCAAAGGATCAAGAGGTTATAAAGTGGCTGGTGGTCCTGCAGCAACACTTTGCACTTTGAAGGTGCGAAGTGTATACTATATAATGGGACTACTCTAGACAGGCTATTCAGGGTTGATTGTGCCGCCGCAACATCGTCCAAAAGCAAAACCAAATCATCCGTATAATCAAGAACAATTAATCTTTCACCAGGCAGCACTTCAACGTCTACCTCGTGGCCTTCCGCAAGTGAACACACCATGAAAGAATCTACGACGAAATTGAACAAAATTGAGGAAATCGGACAACCCTGACGAACGCCACTTGTGGTCGGAAAGCTATCTGACAGGTCACCGTACACACTGATGCAACCTGTAGTGTTCGATTATAGAGCACGAAGGATTTTCACATATTTCCAAAGTACACCTTTCCGCGCAAGTATTTCGAACAGAATCGGTCGGTCGACTGAATCGAAGTCACTCTTGAAATCGAGCAACACAGCTATTGTCGATCTGCGGCATGCGTGACACTACTCTAGCACCTGCCGCAGAGTGAATATATGGTCTATGCAGCCACGTCCTGGACGGAAACCTGTCTGCTCTTCCCTAATCCGGAATTCCCGTTCCACAGTGAGGCGACAAACGAGGATCGAGGCCAGCAATTTTGTCACAACTGGCGTAAGGCTAACACCTCTGTGGTTAGCATAGTCTGTGCGACTTCCCTTCTTATATATTGCCACCATAAGCGATTCGCTCAAGTTAGCTGGGATACTCTCTTCCTTCCAGATATGTTTGAATTGGGAAGTAAGTGCTTTGCTGAGGACCTCACCTCCATTCATAATTAGTGCAATTGGAAGCGAAGCCGAGCCAGCGGCACAAAAACCATTGAGGGCTGTGATCGCGTTTCGGATTTCGGTTTCCGACGGAGGCTCTAAGTTAAACACCCATGGCTCGTCCTGAATCAACTGAGTAGGAAGAGGTCCTGGAGCAGGGCGCCAGCTGAACTGATCTTGAAAATGTTCCGTCCAACAAGACATACGGCGCTCCTTATTGTGTACCAGTGCACTCGCGCTGTCTCTGATTGTCTCTTTGACGCCTGGTTTCCTGGGACCACTGGTGCAGATCAGCCGGAAGAGCTTGCGGTATTTGCCTACTGCTCCTGTCTCCTCCATTTCTTGAGCCCGATTGGTCCACCAGGCTTCCTTGTCAGCATGTAGGCTCCGCTTCATTTCGCGCGTAATAGCCCGTCTGGTCACCTTGTGATCAGAGCCAGCCGGAAGGTTTATTCTAGCTTCCAACAGGTTCACCGACCTATCGGAGATCTAGTGACTGATGCGGTGACGATTGATAGTGTCACAAGCAGATACTCCTGCGTCGTGCAAGGTCGGCCGCGATACGATACCACTGAAGTTCAGTGTCATTAGGAAAATAAAGCGAAACTTCGGTATGCAGTCCGTCTTGATAGGCTTGCCTGACCGAGGGCTGAGACAATTTCTCAGTTATCAATCGGAGGAGACGCTTGGTGCTCCTCTTGGAATAGTTCATGGAGAGCTGACAGCGTACCATGGCATGATCAGAGTAGACACAGGTGTTCCAGTACGAACAGTAGTCCAAGATGAAACCGCGCCATCTGTAAGTTATGGCAATGTGGTCGATTTGGGTCCATCGTTGGCCAGCTACCGGAGGACGCCAAGTGGCACTTCGGCGCCCACTGTGTCTAAACGCACTGCTACTAAGAAACAACTGGTGCTCCGCACACAGTTGCAGCAGACGCTCACCGTTGTCAGTCCTTTCGGACTTAAGCCCATAATTACCGCTCAGCTGAGCTTCTGAAGAGCTCAGACGCCCTATTTGTGCGTTCATATCCCCTGCAAGTACTATAACGTCTGAACTAGTAGCACTGCGTAGTAGCGCGTTCAGTTCGTGATACAATGTGTCCGCATAACACACAGTTGCACGTGGATAGCTGGCCTGCGGCATAGAGGAAACAGCGACTTCGTCCGTAGGCGTACTCAGTGTGGGGGAACAACTAACGATTTATTATTGCAACTAACACATAAATTACTTAGTAGTTGGCACACTATACACCGCCCTTAGATCAGTCGGCTGGTGTAGAAGTGCACAGGTGACATGCCAGTCCGAAAATGGTGGGTCAAAGTTAATCGCGCTTAAATTTGACACCGATTGTGAAGGCGTCTATTACAAACTGATCGGTTGTCCAGATGACAATGGAATGTTCGGACAACTTGCACTCAAGGAGAAAGAGCAGATTGTTGCATTTTTACGCGTACCCGTTACTGGGGTTTATTCTCAATGGCTGTCACAAAAGATGTTTGGAATAAAAACAAAATTCTGCTCGGCCGATCACAACCGATCGCGTGGCCTTCCGTTTTTGCGACTGCACTTTCAAACGTGAATGTACTGAAAGTGTTTAAATAGAAATGTACATTAAGGCACACTGGCAGGAATTTACTTACAACTTTGACCCTTTGCCATAAACTATGTATTAAAAGGGCACGTTCCATGTTCGAAGCAGCATACTGACCTACCTCCTGGAAGAATTTCGGAGCCAAGCCTCTAAGTTTGCTCTCGTGCACGGGTACAAGTTTCCAGGTGTCACCATCGGACTGAAACACCTAAATAAATAAATAAATAAATAAATTTGTATATTTACCAACGGACGGTACACGGCCCCATAAGTGGGAGCGATCATTTCCATGGAAAAATATCGAGACCGTTTCAGTGATTTAAATTATTGTGTGTTATGTGTTAACACAATCATCCAGAGGATGCAATAGAAGAAAAAGCATGCGAGTGGTCGACAGATTTCCGAGCTTATAAGTCAGCAGGACTTGTAGTACAGGAATCTCGTTTGGGGGGCATGAGCTCGAATGGCTTCAAACGGTAATGACGACCATCAACGAAACGGCAATGAAGTACGGATATTTTCATTACTGCACGAAAAGAAATAAAGTCAATACGCCGTTTCATAAAAAGTAGTCAAGGAATAGCATAGAAGCGGCAGGACACCAAATCAGTACTATCCTTAAGGGACAGATAGATACACAGATTTAAAGAGAAGAACCAACCTTAGAGGAATCCGCGTCGGTCGTGTGACGGGGGCTCCACATCTGTTGAAACTGAACCCTTATTTCAGCGAAAGTTTCGATTAATACTGCAATAAATACATTCTGCAAAGTAAAGGTAACTCTTGTAGATATCATGCCGAGCAAACCCACGGGGGACAGTCAAATGTTGTATATAAAAGGCTGTATGTTCCTATGAGAATGTAAGTCACGATCATATTGTTGAAAGAAAGGTCAATCTGGAAGTACATACACAATATGCCTCTGAATTTGGACACTTGATATTTGGAGATAACATATTCGGGTATACAGTATTACGATAGACAAGCCGTCTCTGTTTGGCAAAAAGATTGCTCTAACCGTAGTGGTGCACCAACGACAATCTACGGGGTTAGTGACTCAATTGGTGTTTAACTCATAAATGTTGGAGACTGGAGTAAACACCGTGTATCGAAACTGGATCTGGTGTTTCGGCGAAACTGGAAGACTATACCTAGATTTCCTTCAAGTGGCACTATGATGTAGCATAGGTGAGGAAAAGCCGTTTACTTAATTACTGCCGGCTTGAGCACGTTAAAGGTTTCGTTATCGGATGTAACAAAAGGGTAAAACAGTTGGGTAGTTCTTTTCGGAAATCCTTCGAAACAGGTGATGAATCCACACATGGCCAGTTGGTGAGCTGTTTAAGAACACTTGAGCAGCAGTATACTAGAGAACCTGCTTTCCCCTTGACCTTGCACGACATAATAGTTAGCATCTCTGTTGTAGGTCATACTCGCGATTAGTAGGTACAGGTTCCTTTGGATGAAACTGCTTGCGACTGTAGGTCTTTGTTAGCGTAGTTAAAGTTCGGTAGCAAGAAACCGATATGAGAATGAATCGACTACATTGTGTTGTTTCTTTTGCCCACATGAGATCACAAAATTCACTCTGGACTAGTTAATTTGAAAATATTTTGATATAAATTAGAAAACTGACGAAAGAAAATAGTCCATAACCCACCTTTACGAGCCATGCAACGAAGAAGATCATTGACATGAAATATATCACCCCCTTCCAGGAAGCCAAACAATCCATTGCGCGGTACATGATGAACACCCAACCCTCCTGCGATGCGGCTTGATAAACTGTAAATATGCTGATATCTAAAAGAGAAAACATTTTTATAGAAGCATCAAACAGCTTTAAATCAAAGATTCGCGCAGACAAAAATGTGTGACCATACAAATGGCAGTGCGATAATAGAAATGAACATTATAGACGTAATAATCCGCACACAAAGTACTCACGGAAACTCTCAAATCCAGCGTAGCCTCCATCGTCTTGGATTGAAGTGTTTATCCGTACGCATTTCATATTTGGTGGGCACTGGCCTTCGGGTGAGGTGGGATTGCAGTATGAATCAGGGATTGCTAAATCCTGTTTGGTAATGTGGCTGAACAAAAATACAGATAGTGGCATCATAAAAACACCTTAAAGTTCCTTCAAACTACCTAACTAACATGAGAATGCTGATACATTACTCTACAATCTGAGGGAAAAGGCCCTTGGACACCTTAAAACAGCTAGGGGTTTACAAAGGAAAGCAGTAAATGTCAAGTAGTCCTCTGGGACACAATACAAATATGTGAGGGGGAGAAAAAGTCGTTAGTGGTTGAGATAGCCGTTAGTAACGTACATAAACTTAAAGCGCTCTTCCATTACAACACAGTTCGTTTGCTGGCCCTTGTCCTTTACCATTCGATTCGGTTCGTTGGTTAGAGATTGCTGCCTGATCAATGAAACTCCTACAATACGCACCTGCCTCGTCTGGGGCGCCGCTGAGCTTCGTCCGTGCAAGACTGTACCAATTCCGGATTGTTCACACAAGTATGGTTCGCTCGCGTGAGCGCCGTTTGGTTAGCATTCCGTCCACTGACCCTGCATCGATTCCGTCAACCCTATATGCCCAGTCACCATTAGGTTTACCATGTAGTAAAAATTATAGAAGCAAATATTCTAACTAGAGTGGTCGAATTGGATCGTCCAAAATATTTGCTTTGCTCCACGTATGAGAGATCCTGATCATCAAGAATGGAACAGGGTTAATAACATGCTAATCTATTCTTTAACTATAAATCTAATCAAATAAAAATATGCTTTACGAACCCGGCTTGGTTTCTTTTCCGCATTTACCATAATATTGAGGGTATACTGGGTGTTGATATCAATATAATATACATAAGTGGGAAGAAAAAGAAAAATATACACAACCGTCACTTCAACAAAAGCTCGCGCAGCATGCTTAAGACTATTTTGGGTCAATAAGCAAGGGTGCTAGGAAAGTCAAGACAGTAGTACGATACGATAAAGTGCGAATGAATAGGAACTTGGATTTCGAACCCGTAGAAGAGAAAGATAGAGTTTTTGAAAGGTCTATGTGCGGCGGATGAAATCGGTAAGTTAGCAATCTAGAAGAAACGTATTGTAAACATCAAGATGTCTAGAAACGATTATATCAACTAACGAGCCTCTAAGGAAGCCGATGAATCTAGTAATGTGCATTATCAATCGCACCAACAAGATGTAGTCTTTCTGAATCAGTCCAGGAAAGAGAAGAGGGGGTCAGTATAACCAAACCCAAATATCAGTGTACCGGGCACTGAAAAATTTCAGACACGCGTGGACCAAGACAGGTTTAGAGGGAAAAACATAGGTACTGATGGTGGATGGGTAGGGATTATTGTTTACAGTTACAGTGGGAGAGCTATTCTTGTGAGACTGCATTCTATTGCCACTAAAAAGGAGAATATTACATCATTGCATTTAGAAGCGTTAAGAGTAATAGATCTGCAAGATGACCACTTCACCAGGTCTTCTAATCCACATTGAGGCGATGAAGAATCCTAAATTGCTGGTGCAATAAACCCCAGCATAACATCGTCAGCATATTTGCATCCTATAAACGTGATTTGTAAAACGAGACGTCCAACATATAAGGAAAGTAGAAAAGATGATAAGATCACTCCCAACAGAACACTACGTCGGCACGAAAGACAGGATATTTTGCCGTTTAACTTGGTAAAGTAGGTACTGCCGGTAAAGTAGTCGTGCAACAGATTACACACATTTGGGTGAACTCCATTTTCCGATAGCACGCTCTGCAAAACTGACCTAATCAGACTTCCAAAGGCATTTGGTTAATCAACGAAAAGAAGCCATACGGGTTAAAACATTTGGTCTAATGCAGATGATATGAAATGAACAAGATATGCCCCTGCATTCAATGCAGGGCGCTGGAGTGGCTGTAAAAATCAGCGGAATTAGCAGTTTTCCCAACATTTTTAAAAGCACAGATGCACACGAAATCGAGTGGTGCTTTTGTGATCCGTCTTGTGACACTCCAATAACCGATATTAGTCAAAATATTCTGAAATCAGTTATTTTGCTCGATTTTCTGATGTCTGAGATCGCACCCATAGTGAGGAAGTTGTATAACAGATCTGTCAAAGATAATGAAAGAGAATCAGCACACTCTTTCAAAGCGAATGAAGAGATTGTATCCGGACCACTAGCATTGACTTCAACCTCTTGATGTTCTTGTAAACATCGTTTTGGTTGAAGCGCGCAACTGGTTTGAGCTAATGAATGAGAGCAAGGAGGATGCACTGCGTGAGGCGGAGCTAAAATCAGCACTACGTTTATCCATGTGCACTTCACTGCTCTGGCTGCAGGCGCTCTTACCATAGAACCGTCTCCAAAGCCTCCATAGATCCCGACATTTACGATTGTCTAGAACCGCTTGGATGTTTGTTGTTTAACCTCTTTCTCTCAGGTTTAATTGTTGAGATTATAGTTATGACATGAGTAGCCATCTTACATGTATAAGCTTTCTCTTTCATCTTTCGAAGTCACTTCAGTGGTGCTTACTGAGAGAAAAACCAGAAAGACGCCAAAGTTTGTGCGGTGTTTATCTTTAGTAACCCCTGCACAAATCACATGTTTCGTTACAAAATGATGTGAAAGCCAAATGCACCATTTTTGTAAAGCAAGGTGGAGTAGAATGAAGCGTTCTGTATGCCTTAAGGAACAACCGAATGATACAGATACTCACGGACAGCTAATGCTTCCAATTACAAAATAAATCCACTGTTCTCGGTGCACAAAAGTATAGCCTTTTTGGCGTTCTTGGCCCTTCAGTCGGCTTTGGATACATTATAGTGCACATTATGGAGTACCCTCACGAGGCGAAGTGATCACAAGGTCTTTTGCAGTAAACAGTCAAATTAGCAGGTGTTCTCCAGGTACGACCACCATTGCTTTTTATAATAGGGCCAGCGGAACGAACAAACACTGTAAACCATACATTGAGCTTGTGTTTGAAAAAGCAGTAATTGTAAAGCAATTATCCAATAACGAATGTTTTACAGTTATAAAGCTTACCTTTCATTTGCTGTTTCTAGTACGCAGTGGTAGCTCAGTTCATCCCCGAAAAATTGTACACCCAAAAAGCCATAAAGTGACATGAAGAACAGCAGAAACACTGTGACATTGTACGTTTGATGAGTGGAACGTCTGAAACAGATGCAGCTTGTGACGGAGAAGTAGAGGCAAAGGTAAAATTTACCAATTAAAGGTTCTAGTACAAATTATTCAACTGGATGTCACAATTTAAAGTTACCAACCCCCCTCGATTACATCTGGTAGGAAAGTTCGCTGCTTCTCAGTTAACAGATCAACCTAAATATATGAAAGTAACGGAATCAAGTTAAGTACAGCGCTGGGCTGGGCTGCGTAGGTGACCATTTATGGATCTCGTCAGTAGAACAACGATGCGCAATGGTGTTGTTATTACAAGTCATGCTGAATGGCTAGCCGAATGCTGTTGCATCCATGTCACATTAAACATACCAAGTTTACGAATGTGATAATATAAAAAGAGAGTTATATCTACCAGATAATCATATATTCGACTGTGGTGAGCTCTACTGGTGAGCAAATTACTGCTTAAAGTCTGAATGCGTCAGGTGCCCTAGATCCGTAGCGGTTAAGTGGACAAAAATGTTAAAATGCCATGCATTAAGTTACCATGAAGGCAGCTCCAGCTAAAGCATAAAGCCAGAATGAAAAGCACCCTTCCTAAACGTCCATACTCGAGCAATTCAATTCGTCTATTACATGCTAAGGGAGTCAAAATATCAAAAACGCGGTGTTACAAAAAGCGAAGACAGAGCCAAAGGATGTTTAAAATACACAGGTGAGGGTAACTTGAAAAACACTGCTAGCAGCTATGCAAGAGCCTGAGTAGATCGGTAATGCCCATAAATCTCGTTTTAGTCACGTTTCGTGCAGGGATATTAGCCGTGTTAGACAATGCAGGGGCTGCCGAACGAATCAAGTGATAGGTTGGAGCTTGCTAGGGTTCAAAATTCCCCACAAATACCAACATTCCAAACTTAGTGGACCATTTCATATTGCGCCGCACATAATCTAACGTTGTGGACGAAGGTTTAGCCGGTGGAGAATAGGGGTTCTAAGGTCTAAAGGTACGTTAGGGGGATTCCGAGATATGACGACAATTCGCTGATGAAAGTTGTTGCAAGTTGACGTATAATCAGCTTGGTGGGAGAAAGGAAGGAAGACATCGGCAGGACGACATATTGTACCGATGCACCGCTCCGCGTGACTACCACCGGTCGTGCGTATGCATCGGGGTCGCCCGCACGTGGACCATATAACTGAGAACAGGTATGAAGTGAAGAGGCAACTATTGCCTTGCTAACAATGCAGACAATACCAAGTGTCATGGAACAGATTCTGAAACTACACTAAGCCTAGTTTAAAGGTTGAAATTGCAAGCAAATTGAAGAGTGCCACCTAACTTGATGTACAGGCACAATCAAAATGTGCTGTAAAGGTGAATGACAAATATGTAACTTTGTTTACATTTGTTAATCTAATGACCAAAGAAAAGGCTTCATCAGTACTCCAGCAGACCATACCAACGATTCGCTGTCACCAAAAGTCGCGTGAGGGCTGCATGAATCGCACTGTCGTTCACATCTAAGCGGATTCGAACCGGTAATCTCCGGGTGAAATCGCACACGCGTAATCCTCTTGGTCAATGTCCTTGGTTAAGCAGATATTGTAAAGCATTTCTAGACTAGGTTATTATATAGCGTGGAACGCCATATGTGGAGACGTTATGTCAGATTAACATGCCGAGAACCACGTAGTTAAGGCTATGAAAAAAGGGCAGGCGGCAAATTAAGTAGTTAACCATACAAACTACCAGATTCTAACTATGGCAAACGTATCCGCTTAAAGTATAGATGAGAATGCTGCAAACAGTGTTAAGTAATGAGGTCGATGCGGCGCTATGAGTTGGTTCACCAAAAGGTATATAGGTGTTGCGACGACTTATTGAGTCGACCGTTCACTAGCTTTCAATAAACAGAAAGAGGCGGTCTTATTCATCATCATAGTCATACATCGTCAGCCGTAGCTTGACATCGCTGTCACAATCCTAAGACCTCAGTATCATCAATATCACCACAGTCACTACCTGTAGGACCAGTCATCAGTTACAACAGTTGTGGATAAGCACCTTATACCATTGCATTGCTGCAGTTGAACCATAAATGGACAAATGATTTTGAAGTGTCAAATCAGGCGGTTCACAACCTGAGTGAGGCTACGCGTTTACATAATTGTTCATACAACGGGTATCCGCGTGGAAGGTAGTGAGTGTTGAAAAGCTAAGACGTTTTTAGATGTGCTTAACTCAGTACACTTTCTATCTCAACAGAGCACATAATTTACCTGATAACCGACCACTGCCACCCGAACCCGGAACAAACAGTACGACTAGCAGTTTGTGATAAGAAACTGACATCAGCCAACTGAAGCGATGAATCTACTGAGGTAAAGTACCTCATATAAACGGTGCGTCGAGAGTACTGCGGAAGAATTGATGATCGGTTCTGAATCTGTCGAGAATGTAATGTGTGAAATAGAAGATGGGGCAAAAAACACGGTAAAGGTATATATCACAGTGCTGAAAATCGCTAGCAATTGTGACCCGTACCAAAGACATATATGAAGCATCTAAGAAAGCATTCGAAGAATAGTAACATCTAGACTGCTAGTAACATGAGTGTAGTTGTTTTAGTTAAGGGGTCATTGAGTCTGATAAACTTAACAGCTTAACTAAAACAGAAGAGCTGTCCGCAAAGGACGTGTTTAAAATCACAAATCTTTTAACCTGTAGGTAACATTGGATATTAGTGGACGTCAAAGCTCCAACTGCGCTTCATTTAAAAGTAACACGCCTCAGACATGGCAGGACGCTGACACACTGGTTAAATCTACGTCATTAGTGATGGAGTAGTAAAAAGAAGAAATCAAAAGTGAACTCCGTGGCCGTCATGTAGCGACTCGAAAACAATTGAAAGGTGCAATTTTTTGGTAACGTTTTGCTGTCGAAACCGCAGTTTCATCAGTTGTTGAACCTTTTGCTGAAATCCATGACAATAATTATACCAACTTAGTTGATAATCGTAAGTTAATTGAGGGATCAACATCAAAAAGGTTAAAAGTGATATAGTCCGGATGACTAACTAAATGTGCTAGTACTAAGTGAAACATTGATTTGGTGATGAAGGTATTTAACATTTGTCGACCGAAGCACGTCAGCGTTGTCAAATCAGGACTGGTCACCACGGGTTCAACAGCTCTACCCAGCTTATTCGGCATTGCCTAGATAGCCCTTAATTAGCTAATCCAGTCGGAAGAATCATGCACAGTATCTTAAAAATTCTCCAAGCTGCGCTGAAATATAAAATAGGTAGACAACGAGATAACTGGTTAGACAGTAATCGTTACCAAAAGGTCGTGGAAAGGAAGCCTGCACTTTCTCATATCGAGCTCATAGCCAAAGGAGTAAGATTTAGACTATAAGAAGAACAACGATCGTATGCAACAATGACAATTCTGCCAACCACATTTCATGTTAAGTAAAGAGTTATGGGGAAACAAAGTTATATACCAACTGCTTTGTGGTTCCAAAATAGTCTCAAGCTTACTGAAGGAAAGAAACGGAAAGATTTCAGTCAATGGAACTGATCGTGTAGCGCACTTGGTGTTACGGTATGGCCCACCAGGCTGATGAGGATAGTTCGCTAACAGCTATACTGTGAGGTTGCGCTTCAGAATAGATTGAACTGGCCGACGTTGTGGTAGCAAACCCGTTGTCTTCGGCTGGGCTCTGGTAAGGATTTTAGTTATGGATGTGGACGGAGATTTTATATCAAGGAGTGTGGCCTATCAAACGTGCTGCGATTTTCGTTGAATTGACTTTGCTGTATAAACCCTTGTTTCTGTAGGACTGTGTTGCAACATCGATCAGGAACGGTGACGAAATATTCGCTAGTCCAACTCGTTGGTCAACGTTACAAGGAAACCTGAGTAATGGAGGTGGCGTTTCCGCGCTTCAGCGTTAGAAAACTGATATCAGCCTACAACAAGTTGACATTGCTGTGATTAATCTCCGCGTCTCGATCTAACAAACCCTGCGGCAAGACCACTTAAAGCACACACTCAGCAAGATTTGTACGAAATTAAGCAGTTAGGCGCTAAAGCGTGCGACTAATAGCACACGAAAAGTTAATGAACTGGTTACGTGTACGGCCACCGAAACTGATTCAATGTTTCGATGAAAAGCAATTATCAGTCTGACCGTAACTCGTCAGTTCTATCCCGCAATTTAAATATATGTACCTTAATTCGTTCTTAATATCAGCGAAGCTACTGTGTATGTGCACAGACGCGCAACTCATTTCCAACAAGTTTGACTAGACTAAAGTAGGTTAAGTATTAGGCAGTTCCGATATAACTTTTACAAGCGAAACATGGTTTAGCTCATGGGTTAACAAAGTAAGGAATGCGATACAGAGCACATCATTCATCTGAAAAAGCCGGTAGAACAAAGTAGACGGGATGAATAAGCATCACTGAAGCGACCACAGGTGAGGTGTAGTGGGTGACAGCCGTAGATCAACGATCAGTATGCGGCCGTCGTAGTTACCTACAACGCAATATTATATATGCCTTGTGACAATCGATTATCACCCCTCAATGCCTATTTCGTAGACTGACATAAGCCTTGTATTCCTCTTCAGAGTGTAGTGATATTCTCATCATAAACGACTACAGAGTGGCAGATTTGGAAAGCTAGGCATATACAATGAAGAGCTCGGACAGACTTTAAAGTTACTTGTCAGCATTCAACTGTACATATATCATCAGCACTGTCATTATCATCATCATCATCAACAACAACAACAGCGACGCATCAGTAATCTAAACTGATGCTTCGCTACCGTACAATCATGATCGCCTACGGAGTGAGGAATAATAAAACGGGGAGAGAAGGGACCCATCCTATACTCCGATATCATAACCAAATATTCAAGGGCAAGTCACCTACACCACGTCAACAACACCGTCACGAACAGCTAGATATTGTGCGTGGACAAGGCGGCATCGACGAGGCAGCCTCCTTGCGGCTTTTACCGCCCAGCATAATAATCAGTGGTTCCCCCCATAGACAACACAGAATCAAACATACTTTAAACATGCAGTCTGACTAGGATATCACAACAGACGCAGCACTGGTACCGACTGCGAACTATTCGGGCATATATTCGGGCAAGTATCGATTCAGCGACAAACGATGCACGACTGGAATGCATCCCAACATTGCTGGTGATTGCCATATTACTGTAAGTATCACCGGGATTTGTCCTGGTGCATCGTCGCATTAGATAGGCTGCCTACTCTGTGCAACTATAGCATCCCCAAGGACATTAAAATTCGCTCAAAAGCAACAGTAATGGTAGTCCAGAGATTGACTCCATAACGGGTTCTTACCATAGGATACCAAAGTATAACTATTCCAGACAAGTACCAACCGATAAAGTTTCAGCCCCCAACTTTCCTGCGCGTTACGTGTTGGCCAAGGCGGTCGTCACTGCGGTACTGCTGTATCGTCTGGAATGGTGCAGCACCAAATGACACGAGAAGCATAGTTTCCTACTACATCAGCCAAACATTGAACAAGGAAGATGAATAAGAACAACCGATAGTGGAGTTGCGATCAAAGTCATTTGTAGGAAGTTCACAACGTTTCGGAAAGATTTGATCATCATACCCTTCGTTAAAGCTACATAGGTATGGAATCGAGTTTAGTGGTAACTCCTTCCTACCCAGGAAGGTGCAGATCGAAGTGCTAGGTCTAGTATCCAATTCAAATAGGTGTATTACACGGCTCAGTACTTAGGCTGTAGCTATTTCTTATGTTCGTTATTCACCGTACGCATGTAACAACGTCAAATTTATGAGAGTGAGGTGGCATGGCGGATAGTCGGCAGGTAAAAATAGAACTAGTCACTTCACGAGGATCTTAATGGTAGTTACAAGTATTTAACAATATATTAGACTTAGTTCAAAGGGACTAAATTTAGAGCAAACGATATGCGTCATCGACTGGAAAACAGAGCAGAAACCCTTCCAGGAGCGTAGTCTTGGTGTACTTTTCTAAGAACCATTTCAAAAACCGATCATGTTGCTGGGTATCAAACAGAGAAAAAGGTACAGATCTCTTACAAACAACTGTAAGTCGGCTTAACCCTTGCATATGGAAGAAAATTCCTAACGCTTAAATAAAATCCCAGGTGGGGCACGAAATCTATACCTGAAAGACTTAGTAGGAGCACCACCTCGTTGTGCTCGAGACCATACAGCAAAGCGCGAAAACAAAAGTAGTGCTTAACAGATCACTCCGCACAAGGGCCAAGTGCTTCTGGCGTCTGGCCGCTGGCCTGTAATCCAAAGGAAACGGAGTTGAGTCTGCGTTAGCGCGCGCGATCTCGCGGTTTTGTCAGCCCTCACACGACTGCTGGCAATGGCGTGACAGTAAAGAGTCGGTACGGCATACTGGTCTGCTACTGATGACTTAGCCATGCGCAGCTTTGAAACTGAGATGGAGTGGAATTGAATTTTGATCTGGTAACTCACGCTTAAACCTAGCTCCCAGTGACTAACATCACATCTTCTCCAATAGAAGTAACTGAAACATTAGGGGCTATTTTCTCTACCAGTGCCTAAAAGGTGTATCAGTTCCGCTCCCCCGATTTCTTTCCAATAAAGTCGCGAACGAAATTTCATGGATGGCATACCAGGATCCAAAGCTAGCTGCGGCAAAACGTTCGCACAGTCAACTCGGTAGTCGCTTAAACAGTTAGCTATTTACGTAAGTAAATTTCATCTACTGCCGACCGAGAAGCGTGAACGGTTTAGAACCACATCTCAACATAGATCTTATGCATAAAAATAGACAAAAAGCTTCAAAAGAGAGCTTGGTTAAATGCAAACGTTTAGCTGCTAGATACGACAGACAGCATACAACTTTTGGCATCGCTACAATAAAGTCGAATATAACCTGCACTGCGCTCTTGGTTGGCTCTCAATTAATGCTCAAATCGTGTTTCCTTAGAAGTGAGTAATAGGTTCGTCATCATGTATTACTAAAATGCACTTACTTTCATTTGTAGATTGACGAAAATAGCTGGATGAGTGTTTCATTTTGAGTGATGTAGTAATCACATATGCTATACGGATGGTAGGTATGATTCATTGTAAAGAGATAAAAGAGTTTTTAACGAACGCGTCGTTAGAAACAGAAATAAACGAGAAAAAATCTTCTAAACACTGCACTAAAGCGCCCTTACTGAAAAATAGCCTTTACGCGGGCCTTTGGCAGTTGTAATCGCAGGACGGCTCGGAAGACGCGGATAAGTATTATTGGTCGAGGGCAACGAAGAACGGCTAATATCCCATAGCTTTTCCAGAAGTCCTCAGTCGCGGCGCAAATGACCTGCCCCTTAGGGCACTGAAGCATTATGTAGAACTCCACGCACTGCAGTCCGATTGATGCGTATATAAAAAACAGCATCGCCGCGTCGAAACAATTCCAAAAGCGTTGGAAGTACGCTTTTCGAATTTTGTGATCAGCTGCGCTGCTGGAAGCCTGGAGGAAAACAACGGAACATGTGTTGCTGACATCCCTAAATAAGCTAATCATCAAGTGATTGTATGATAAAGGTATACCTGGTTCCGAAGATGGGTAGTAAAATAAATTGTGTGCGCAGAGAATTAGAAACCCATGCAGCATGCTGTGGTAAAACAGGGAACCGAATGGAACGAGAAAAGATGATGAAAAATAAATGGACATAAACAAATTAAAAAGAAAAACCAAGCATGCATGCGCAGTGGGCTAAGAAAACTAACTGAGCACTGGTGCAGTGCAAGAACCGTCCAAAGAACTGAAAAAGATTCTGTTGCACCAAATATACATTGAAGAAAGTATCCACTCCAGTTAAACCCTGGGCGCAGGTTTGACGAAATAACTATTTCAGTAAGAACATGTGCATCAAAAGATTGTTGTCATAACGTCACAAACCCATTAGGACGAAAAGTAGTTAGTAAACGTGCCATCTGTGAATGCCAGGTTAACGGCAGTTTCGTCATACTCATATTTCTACTCATGTTTCAGTCAAGGAGCAAAGTGAATTCACCATGTGAAATGACAGAATAAATTAGACCCAAGCAACTCGCGTCATGAAGAATAATAAAAGTAACAGCTCAATGAGCATTTGCGCTGTGTATGTACATTTAAACGATATGCGTTCTAAACTAAATTAATTCATATACATTCCGTTTATAACCCACCTTTTTCAAAAATTCATATGTTATAGGAAGTTAGGGTATGGCTCACCATCGCAACGAGACTGGACCTTAATATGGTGCGACGGTTTGCGTACCTCCTTGACCTATTGACCTATACATCCGGGCCCCTTGAAAGCTACTCTTACCAGGTTGGTCAATGGTGAGAGAACAGACAAACTCAGTTTCCTGGTCCTCCATGTTGGGGGTTTGAAATGTAATGGCGTCCATTTCTGTAAAATAAAACCATTGCTACCCCCTGCATTGTGGACAGGCTTTTGAGCAAAGGCTTTTGAGCTTTGAGGACCCTAATCGTCCTTCTGACTAAGTCTGAGCGCCGTGGCAGTATCTCAGCCCAATTACAACAATCAGTATTTCTTCACATAGAAACTGCATCCTGTAACGGCCGTCGAGCAGATTATCAATGGTCGCCTTATCTGCTGCATACACCAGGGCGGATAAGCGAAAACACGCTACTACTGGCGCCTCCATTCTTTCCTTTCCACCCGTTTCTCTTACTCCCATCCCGACCCCGATTACTAACCTTCCTTCTATAATTCCCAGCTTAATTGATAGCAACCGAAGTGCCACAGTAGAACCAACTGCAGCCAACAGCCCAGAACATCCATCCGACGCCCATCGGCAACAGCCCCTTATAAGGCCACGCTGTCCCGTTCTCATGGCGACGTTCAACCTTCGCACTCTGACAATCAGGCCAAGAGGCTACACTCGCACTCACGGTGGACACACTGTGTACTGATGTGTGTTGTGTGTCCGAAACTAGGATCAGTGACCCTAATGGGGTTGTTGAATTCACTGCGCCTGGATTGTGATCTCCTTATTGGTTGCACGCATCCGGAGACGCCGATGCAGCATTCAAGGGTCAGGCTGGTGTAAACATCACTCTAAGCTCCAAGGCTGTGTTATGGGGACCCAAGGTCCCAATAATTATTACAGGCTTAAATTACGGAAAGCTGAAAACCCGATTCACACAAGTGCACATGTACTCGGATCAGACAAAACGCACACGTTCAATCAGCCTTCCAACTTGTGAAACATTCACATTGTTTAGCCTTTGCACCAAGAAACAGTCTTGTTTCCAACCAAACACGCATTGTTGTATCCAAGCAACATTTATTTTTCCGGACAACTCTCGCCAAACTTCCAACATTTCCGCTCAGTTTACGGACTTCGCATATTTACATAAAACCATGTTTCTTGTTTCCAGGGTTTGCTTACGCAAACCCTTCCAAGGGAAAACCCCCCCTCATCACCGTTTCGTGATATAAAAATGAGGCTGTACAACGCTAGAATCGCCTTAGCTTTGGCCAGTAAAAGCCCCCATGGCAAAAGGCCTGTCTTGTTCCTGATTCAGTCTTGGGTTGGGAAATCGTGCATAGAAACTTTGCGTTCGGTCTAGGAACCCGTCCGACTCGCGTGAATTAATCTTTCGCGGCTAAGTTCCGAGAACCCACAGATTTCGAGATTGTCAGTTACCGTGCTGTGTGAGAATAATTCTGCGTATCGTTCGTTCATCCGAATAGGAGAGTTGGTATCACATTGTTAGAACCTGGCGTATTCAAGTGGCAGTATTAAACAGTGGCGACGAAGTATTCGAACCCATGGCAGTTGCATATAATGAGTTTAAATTACTTTTGGAGCCCCAGATTGCTTTAATGACTGCCATAACGGAAAAACTCTCCAGTTCTTCCTTTCAATCAGGTTCCACGGGCAGCACTCCTTCGGTTGACTCTATCTGCAGCAGCATCTCCGAATTACTGTATGACCCTGGCGCTCAAATTACCTTCGAGTCCTGGTATAAGCGGTACGAGGATCTGTTCACCGTTGACCTGGCTTCCCAGGCTGACGCGTGGATGGTCCTGCTGCTTCTGCGCAAACTGAGCACGGTCGAGCACCAACTTTACACAAACTTCATCCTGCCAAAGAAGCCCCGCGATGTTTCCTTTGGTGAAACAGTCCGCACGCTGTCGCAGATCTTTGGCGAACAGTCCTCACTGTTCAACACCCGGTACCAATGTCTGCAGCTGACCAAACGAGACGCCGATGATTTTTTCACATACGCGGGCATCGTCAATCGGGAATGCGAACGGTTCCAGCTTGGCTCGCTCACAGAAGACCAGTTCAAGTGCTTGCTCTTCATTACTGGCCTCCAGTCCGCCCATGATGCCGACATCCGAACGCGCGTCCTATCCAAGCTGCAGCAAGACAGCATGATCACACTCCACAACCTGGCCGAGGAGTGCCAATCGCTGATCAATCTGAAACACGATTCCGCGATGATCCAGGACGCTTCCGCGCCTGGTCTGGTCCAGGTGGTCGCAGCCCCCAAGCCGCAATCTTCCGAGCGGCTCTCCCAACTCAACCGAGCGAAGCCCCCACCCTATCCGTGCCGATTCTGTGGTGCATGCCATTTCCATCGCGATTGCAACTTCCGACAGCATCGTTGCCAACGTTGTGGCAGGGTGGGGCACCGTGATGGATACTGCTATCCTACGTCGCACAAGAGGGCCAAACCTGGGCTGACCCCCACCCGCAGACCCGCACAACCCAAGGTGACCAAACCTGGCCTGGCCAACACCCACAGTCAAAAGAAGAGGCCACGATCCAGACGCAAACCCAACACTGGCCCATTTGGAAGCTCCATGAGCTTGCTGGCCACATTCCAAGTCAATGCGGATCGCAGGAAGTTCGTCGACGTCCAGATTAATGGCCAGACCGTCCGATTGCAGTTGGACACTGCTTCGGACATCACGATCATCTCCGAGAAACTCTGGCGATCCCTTGGTAGTCCACCAGTCCAGCCAACCCTTCAATCCGCCACCAGCGCCTGTGGTGGCCACGTGCAGCTAACTGGGCAGCTGCATTGTTCAGTCTACTTTCGAGGTGTCACATTCGACGGGATCTGCTACATCGCCAAGGCAAACCTCAATCTACTTGGTCTCGATTGGCTCGAACAGCTTGACATGGTCGATCTACCTCTCCGAACCATCTGCAGCCCGATACAATCTCTGGCCGTACCAACTGACGAAACCAATGACCTCATCCGACAGTTGGCCTCAGTGTTCCAAGATGGTCTTGGCCGATGTTTACGCACCCGCGCCGTGTTACAGCTTGCTCCCGGAGCTCAACCGGCATTCCGTCCTAAAAGGCCGGTCTCATACGCAGCCTTACAATTGGTCGATGCCGAACTTAAACGATTGGAAGATATGGGTGTCCTGGTACCGGTGTCCTACTCTGCTTGGGCAGCCCCAATCGTTGTTGTCAAGAAACCAAATGGATCTCTTCGCATCTGTGCCGACTTCTCTACGGGCCTCAATGCCGCCCTACAGCCGAACTGCTACCCATTACCATCACCAAATGACCTCTTTACCATACTCAATGGCGGGACGTGTTTTACCAAAATCGACCTGGCAGACGTATACTTACAAATCGAGGTGGCTCCGGAGTCGCAACTGCTTTTGACGATCAACACACACCGCGGTCTCCTTCAGTACACCAGACTGCCGTTTGGTTTCAAGACCGCACCAGCCATATTCCAGCAGACAATGGATGCAATGATCGCTGGCATTCCAGGTACGGCTGCATACCTGGATGATCTTCTTATTGTTGGTGGCCATCCAGAAGAAATGCGAGAACGTCTGGTCTCGGTCTTTAAACGGATCCAAGAATATGGTTTCCGCCTGAGGGCCGATAAATGCCAATTCTTCCTACGGTCAACCAAGTATCTCGGCTTTGTCTTCGATGCTAATAGCCGTCACCCCGACCCCGGAAACGTCGAAGCCATTCACCAGATGCCACCTCCCAAGGATATTCATCAACTGCGCTCCTTCCTTGGTCTCATCACTTACTACAGTGCTTTATTACCATCACTACATGATGTACGGGCCCCTCTGAATCAACTGTTGCAAAAGGATGTTCCTTGGCACTGGTCCCCCACATGCGAGAAGGCCTTCGCGCGCCTGAAAACTATGCTCAGTTCTGATCTGCTGCTGACACATTACGATCCAGCCTTACCCATTCTAGTCGCCGCCGATGCCTCCAATTACGGAATCGGAGCGGTCCTCTCCCATCGCTTCCCCGATGGTTCCGAGAAAGCGGTCATGCATGCCTCCCGCACGCTGACGTCCGCAGAGAAGAACTACGGTCAGATCGATA